ACCTGTAACAGAAGTTTTCAGGAGCAGTACCATTATATCTCTTTCACGTATCATCCTGGCAGTTTGGACGTACACTAATGAAAGCATTCAAAGCAGACATCTCCAGCCCCCTGCTCCTGAGGGAGCAGCACAACACACCAAAGGAAGCGTCCGCACCCTGATAATCTGTGTACTGTGCCTTAGGGTACTGCAGGCAGTGTTTTTTGTATAAGCTATGCAATGAGGACCACTGGTTTAGACTTACAGATAAATATTTGCAAAGATTATATGTCTTAAAGAAACAAGAAGAATGTGCAACTGTGTTGGACTGTGGAGCTGCACTGCATTTTGTAACTCTTAACCCAGCTCTCCTGATAGTCTTTGTAGTAGGCAACTGACTTGAGAGGGCAAAACTGAATTTGAAACAGGGAGAAAGAAAAGAGAGAGGAAGCAAGGCTGTTGAATGGATTCTCACAGTATTCTTCTGAGAAGTCTCTTATGTGGGTTAGAAAAGGATTCCTGATGACCTGTGCCTGGGTGTTAACCAGGCAGGTGAACCAAACTCATGTTGACTTCCACAGCTTCTGCATCCTTATTGCACCATTTCAGTAACAGCAGACATATATTTTATTTTCCTTTCTCATACTTTATTATTTTGTACTATACAAATATTTTGATTGCAGCCTATTCAATATGCTCTCTGTCTTACCAGCCTGTCAGTAGGGAAGTGACACAATGTTGGCTGTGGTTCTGAAACCTTGAGAGGATTTTATGACTAATACATTTTGTACTCCATAAACTTCATTAAAATTAATCTTTTGGTTTGGTAATATGCTTTTTCATCTTGGTACATTGAGATCCAAAATGTACTCCTTCCTCCATTCCCAGAGAAGGTTAAGTGGCACCATCAGAAGTCATTCTGAAACACAACAGCTTTCAGAAGTCAGAATAAGAGTGTCTGGACCATTTACATAAGCAGGCTGGGATGAGAAAGCACTACCATTATTAAGGTGACTTACTTAAATTCCTGTTACTCTTTCCCTTCTATTTTTCCTTCTTTCTTTCCTTTTGTAAAAACAAACCAAGTTGTCTGGGAGCATATAAACATACTATACAGATTTTCCACCACCTTTCTGTCCATTCAGGATATCAGCATTGCCAAATGCGACACAAACTTACTGATTTTTAAATGGTGATTTTACAAATTTTGTGAACAGGCCCTCCACTGAGTGATAGGAGGAGATATGTGGGCATGCAGTGCTAGATATTGAAGATTTAAAATAAAGGCTAGATTGGGGGGGGTTGGTGGTCCCTTCTATACAGAGAAGACCTCCTGGAATCAGTAGAATTAAGACATGAATGATAGAAGTGTTGAACTCATGAAAATTAAGACTTCACATATAGCATAGTGATCATGAAACTTGATTGCAAAAGTTGCACATGAACTAGCATGCAAGTGCAACCAAATGAATATCAGTAGAATTTATAGCTGCCCTCCTATTTCAAATCACAGTGGCCAAGAGTAATCTCCTACGCTAGTGTTTTATAATAATTCATTATTATAAATGTTTACTGTTCACTCTCATCCCTAATGATCATCCCTGGGCCCAGTGAAATGAAAAAGAGAAACTGTAATGCCCTCACCCTAATTTGGCAAATGTTTAGCTTCCTGTTTTATGAAGCACTAAAGTATTTCTGTCCTGTAATCTTTCATTTCAGTAGTGAAGAATGGAATAGATGCTGCTGTTTAATGTAATGAAAAATAATCACAATGCTTCTGAAAGCAAATGTAGCAGAAGATTGTTCTAACAGAAGCTTTGTAGTAAACTACACTCCACTAACATTATCTGCCACACTTGGTGGGCAGGAACTTGGGGTTTGTGCTCTAGCAATTCCATTTTACTGGTCAACAGAATATTAATTAAACATAGTTTAGAGGCTGCATCTCAAATGGAAAAATGAAATTAGACCACAGCCTTAGATGGAGTTTATATATATTATGATACACAAAGGTAATTTATTTCCCTGCTTCTGAATCCATGCATTTAAAAGTGGATTCTCCATAATATGTCAAATTCATAAATTTTTTACAGACTTTTACACTAGAAAATGGGATTTGCCATTTGCCTTCTCAATAGTTGTGCTAGTTCATAAATACAGTTGTGTATTACTTTAGGACAAAAAAGGCTGATAGGTTAATAGTAAATCCTCAAGTTATTTCAGATTTTCATAAATATGCAAAATAAAATATGTCCTATTCATCTATATACTTTAAGGTGTATATATTTAGAGAAAAATACCTACTTTTAAATTTGGGCAAAACATCTACTTTCTGTTCTTTAATTTCATAGTTCGAAAAAACTCCATCTACTAATTCACTTTGGGACAGGGACCTATCTGTGTGTGTGCATCTGTATGTATGTGTTTGTGTGTATTTTTATGTACAGATTTACCAGTACCTGCCTCACTTTTTTCTAAGGGAATTTAATTTTAGATGGCCAGATAATGAAAGCAGCATTAAGTTAATTAGGGGAAAAAAACCTTGAAAGGTTAGGTGAAAAGATGTACCTATATTATTTAAACTAATACCTTATATTCATTCAGTCACAGGGTTCGGTAAAAGCATTGGGTTTTTTTATAGCAAATTATTGCCTCATTTATCATGAATGCATTGGGAATGAAACTTAATGTAAGGACACTACAGAATTCGTGCTGCGGCTGCTTTCTTTATGAATATTTATGGATAACATTCCACAGCCTTGTCTCAGGATATACAGGAGTTTGTGGGAACCATTGCAGAGTCAGTTACCTACGCATTTTACTGAAGTTCTGAGCAGGTCTGGAAAGAGCAACATTAGGGCTTTCTAATGCTTGGTGACTTGATGATGAGCCAGGAACATGTCCTTGCAACAAAGCAGGCCAACAGCCTTCTGGGCTGTAGTTAGCATAGCATTGCCAACACATCAAGGGACATAATCCTTCCCCTATCCTCAGCACTGGTGAGACACAGCTGGAGTTCTGGATCCAGTTCTGGGCTCCCCAGTACAAGAAAGACATGGACATACAGGACAGCATTGAAGGGCCACTGAGATGATTAAGGGATTAGAACATCTCTCCTAGAAGGAAAGGCTGAGAGAACTGGTACTGTGTAGCCTGAAGAAGAGAAGTCTCAAGGGGGATTTTATTAGACTAAATAAATACATGAAGGGAGGTGCAAGGAAGATGGAACCAGGCTCTTTTCAGTGGTGTCCTGTGACAGGACAAGAGGTAAAGGATGCAAACCAAAATACAGGAGAGACCAACCACTTGAAGAAATTGCCCAGAGAGGTTGTAGAGTCTCTGTCCTTGGAGATATTTAAATCTGACTGAAGATGGACCTGAGCAACCTGGTTTAAGTGACTCTGCTTTGAGCAGAGAGGTTGGGCTAGACAATCACCAAATGTCCCATCCAATATCAATTGCTCTGTGATTCTGTGACCTGCTTAAATAGCCTATGCTGCATTTATTCCTGTGAAGTGACAATATCAAAATAGCCCTGACAAAAGCAGTTCAGAATCTGGTCCTGTGAAGATTTCAAAGCTAACAATAAAACATTAAGAAAATCCTTTACCTTTTCATTACAAAAAAGTAATTGAGATGTTCCTGATCTGCCAGTCTCTGGCAGAGGGTTGTATCCTTTGTTGCGCTATTGGAAAAGGCTGAGCAGGAACATCCTCTGAGGGATGTCTGAGCATCCAGCAGTCTAAGCAGGTTCACTCAAAAAGAGAAAGTTTAAAGGAGAAGTAACAAGAAGACATTAAGCAATTTCTAAACATGGTGTTTTTTAACTCATTCCCTGTTGGCAGTCAGACTTTACTTACCTATTTGCCTTTTAGAGCACTTAAATAATTGTCTATTCTCTGTTCAGTATGAGATACACCAATTCTGCTTTGTCTAGTTTAGTACTCATTGTCTCCAAAAAGTTACTTTAGAAGTGCAACTGAGTTTAAAAAGGGAAAAAGGATAAGGAATTCCAGAATCAATTCCACTCCTGTATATTGTGCCATAATCTTTAACTGCACAGGCATTGATACCTGTGTGTAATGGGAATGCACATCCTTTTGTGAGTCTCCTCCATCAAAGTCATCATATGTAGAACTGAGGTTTTCACTCTGTTATGTCAACTGAGGTATTTATTACATCCATCTGGTGCTTTTAAACACAAGATGAAGTTCTGTTGGCAGTTTAATAATTTCTTAAGCATGCAGTGTGAGTGATAATAAAATACGTATGGATGTACATAAATATATACGTAAGTTTGCTTGTACATGAAAACAGAGTGATTTTCAAGATATTAATGTTTTAACATTTTAATTGTTAATACTGGAATGTTTTAGGGATCTCTATTTCTGCAAAATATTATTATTTTTATGACCAGAAGGTATCATAATATCTTAGTTTGTACTTCCATGTGCTACTATGTACTCCAGTGTCCACAATATTTAACTAAGCTTTGGAAGAGGATGCCTTTGGAGGCTGTGGAATTGCTATCACAGTAAGATGAACAGTACAAACATCTCAGGAACATTTAGGTACAATTACTGTACTCACATGATATTCCTTCTAGACCAACTTTTCCAGGATTTCTGGCAAAGAAAGAAGCTTAAAAGACAAAGTAGTCTTTTTGCATGTACCTATTTGGGAAAACAGAATTCCCTCGCTTCCTCAGTGGTGATGGCATACAAGTTGCACTACGGTTGTTGGCTAGCACAGGTGTTGGAACAATTCAAGGACTTCAATTAAAACTGTGTTGTTCCAGAGACTGAGGTCTGTGTTTGCATGCCAATTTTCAAGTTACTACTACTTGTGGCTGTGGGGAGTGCGTGTGTGTGCTCAAGATTTGACATTTGCTTTGGTCACTGTATCTAATTTCCCTATCAAGTTATTTCCCTCAACACCCAGCAAAGATCCACAACTTTGTTATTAGAAATCTTAGCATTCTGTACTGCATTTACTGAGAGAGATAACTCTTTTTTTTTCAGAGCTTCCATATGGCTGGGAGAAAATTGATGATCCCATTTATGGCACTTATTATGTTGAGTAAGTTCCCAAGTTCAATATTAAGTTGCTATTAATATGTCATAACCTGATACCAGTATCCTCTGCAGTGCTTAGCCTGTCACGGAATAGGTACAATTACTTGATGTGTTAAACTGAGGGTATACCAGGAATTCTCAGTCATCAATACAGCTAATGTGTCCAAATATATTCAGTGTGTCTCAAATAAGTGACTTAGGCATTCAGTCGTTCTCTTTCTCCAAGGTCTGATTTCATGGTATTGTTCCAGCTGATACTTGTACAGAGATCATATTAATTAAGGAAATGTTGTATTTTCTGTGTAAGCTGTAGTTATACAATGAGGTAGAAACCTTGTTAATCAACAAATAGAGCAAAGCATAATCATTTTAGCTCAGTAAAGAGAATTTTCTGGGTAGTTCTTCCTTGCTGCAAATCAGGTGTTTATAATGCTTGTACCAGAAGGCAGGTTATTTATACACTACATATAAAATTTTAGGAATGTTGTGTTTTATTTTGTACGTAAGAGTGAAGCTGAAAACAAAAGAATATAAATCTCTATTTTCATAGCACAATCTTTGATTTCATTTTTTTTTTAAGATTTTATTTTAGTTATGAAACAAGAAAAAATGTTTCTTATTCCTCTGTGCAAAGGGCAACATGAAGCTTTTATTTGAAGTAATAGGTAGAACCTGTTCTGGTCACTTCCTACATAAAATAAGAAAATTGAAGAGATGATTTTCTGTGCTTTTATAGCTTAATACAGCAAATAGGACTTACGCAGAGTGGATCTAGATTCAAAATTCTGGGGATGCAGTTTTTCCAAACCCCAGGATATGATGCTATTAAAATGCACAGGGTAGAGCTGGACAGGGAGATCAAGAAGAGATCTGATTTCTGGAGGTCTGGAAGATGAAAGGTGCCTCTTTCTTTATTGCTGTAACAGCAGCAGCTTGTGGATGCCATGTACCTTCCCTTGCCCTCCTTAAAAGCAAACAAACAAATGAAAACAGCATTTGGCCACTACCCTGCTGACTCCTGTCCTGTTCTCCAAATGCAGGAGCACCTGCTCTGCTGCTTTGTCCCCAGCCTGTTCCCTGCCCTCAGGTGAAGGAGCCAGCAGCTCCATCTGCTTTGTTGTTCAGCCCAAATCAGCTTAGTCAGTCCAGATCCAAGCAAAAAGATAAGTAGGTTCTGAAGTCCCTATGTTATGCCATTAAATTACCCTCTCTTTTTATGCCTGAGTTCTTTTATGATGTCCCTAAGTAGCTAGGGGCTGGAGTTCTCATATCTCTTTGTACTTAACCTCCCCTAAAGACTTCTGCATGTGCAATTATGCAGCTGCTGGGTGTAAATGTTCTGCCTCAGTCATTTTTCATGTGTTTTGGGGAGTAACAGGTGTTGTGCAATTCCTGTGCATCAATATCTTACCGAGACCCCGTTCGGTTGTTGCGCAGCCCAAGGCATTCTGGCACAAGTGAGGCTCACACTTCGCTGCAGTCAGAAAGGGAACGAGTATTTATCTCCATTTCGTGTCCAGCCATGGGTAAACAGACGCAAGGCACCAGGCCCAGATGTTATTATGCAATTGCATACTTTAAGGCTGTTTGTGCCAAATTTATTAATCCTACCACAGATAAGGTTTGTGGAAAGATATATCAAACTTACTGGAGGCTCAGAGGGTTTTAGAAGTGGAATGGATGTTTACAGGATGGCATTAAAACTGCAGCCACACCAAGTTCATAGGGAGTTTTATAGTCAGTAAAATGTAGCTGTACTTTAATTTGCTGTCTGAGCTCAATAACTTTGAAACAAAGATTGCTTTCCATTTTTCATGCTAAGAAGCGGCAGTCATACCTTCTTTTATTACCAGTATTCAACAGATGAGTTCATTTTTAACTGGATAAAATCAGACTACAATAAACCCTCTTAATTATATCATAAATGTGGCTAAATCCTGAAAAGTTAGATTATGGGCTTTCACACACTCAAGTCCAGTCCAACTTCACCTGCAGGCCTTTAAAGCTGTCAGTGAAAGAAGGGCTTATTGTCTGCTTACTGATATATTTGTATCCCATGGGAAGTTTGTAAGGATGAGCAGTGAGGCAGAAAGGCTCAGGTTCACCTTAAAAGGACCATCCATGCTCAGCTCCAATACTCTGAGACCAGAGATAAAACTAAAGAAGAAACAAAGGAAAACTTCAAGGGTCTCACTAGTAAAGCTAATAAAGACTAATCACAACATATTTGCACGTTCTGTTAAATAAGGTCTCCAGTATCACTTCCTTTCCCAATCATGCATGAATGTAGGTGTGAGGCTTTATTAAAGTTTTCATTTGCTGTGTTATGCAGATCCAGGCTTCATTTGTAAGGTGCAGACATTTGACATAAATGAGAAGTGTTTGCTACACACGGGTTAACTTTCATGCAATTTTCCCTTAATTTATAAACTAAGAACTAGCAACACTTAGCTGTGCAGGGCAATGGAGAGAATATGGTTATTAGAGTGTGCTGGGTCTTTCAGCATTCTAATTGCCAAAAGATTATTTTCCCCTTTAAGGATGATTAACTACAACACAAAGCTCAATTTCCAGGCACTGTGTTCTTAATAGAACAGCTAAATTAGCCATACAGGTTACAAATCCACCTCCTTGACTTAAGAGTTTCTGACAACACTCAAATAGAAAAACTTCAGGTTTTTTGTCATCATAGAGTACTAGTACCTGAAAAATGTGAGTGTAAAGAGGACTTAGGCACTAACAAGTTATGTATCAGAATGTCCATCTTTTAGGCATCCTGATGTTCAGAATTACTTTGGTAGGTTATAGGCAAGAATCTCAGAAGTTAGAGTCGCAAACTACCAAAAAAATCCCATGGATTAACGTAGTAAGAAAAGAAGATACATCAAACTCTTTCTGCTGATGCACATGGTTAGACATTTTGGTAAGGTTCAGTATCTTGCCCATCAATTAAACTTTGCATAGTAGGCAAATAATAGGCCCGTAAGTTTCCTAAGAATGTGTTTCAGTTGTCTTAAGCACATCTAACATGAAACTCCAACACAAAACCAACTTAGCCTGGCCACAATCACTGATGAGATGGCAGAATGATATCTGTCTTACATCCTGGTTGGTGGTGACAATACCTCCTCATAACACGAGACAGTGTTTCAAATTCACAGGTAAATACAGCCCCAGAACAAATCCTACCTCTGAGGGGTTATCCCCAGTTAGCATACAGCGAGCTAAGAGAGGACAACAGCACTGACCACCCTTCTTCTCTGCAGAGGGAAATGCAGGATTCCTAGGACTAGAAAGCAGATAAAAGGCACCACAGTTCTTCTGTGCAGCCACATTGGCACTAGGAGAATTTAGTTGGATTCTTGTCTTTGGATTAGGCTTTAATGTTTAGTATGCATTGTATAAAATAAAGGAAGAAAATATAAAAATGCTCACTGAATTAGATACTGCAAGCAATGAGCAATACATTTTTTTATCACATCCAAAATCCATTTTAACCACAAAAGCATTTATTTGTAACCATCTGTAAAACTTGCATTTGGCTTGTCTTATTAAGGTCTAGGTTAGTAATATCTATTTTGTATGCAGTTGAATTAGCTAGATGAAAGGCTAGAATGTCCTTTCAAGGGAACTACTTAGCCTAATAACTTCTTTCTCAGGTAAATTCATGAGTAACAATTTTTCTGATTTATCATGAAGCTGTATAGCACTTAAAATTGCATGAAAGGGAAGTGTTTCATGTCTTATCAGTCTAGAAGCATAAATCCAGTGCTACTGACTGATAAAAATAACTGATCATGAGTATAATTTTCTTTTATCTGACTCCTTTTGGACACAATATTTAAATGCAGTTGTTTAATTTTGTTGAAATCCTCACTTTGATCTTTCAAGACTGCATGCTACCATAAAACACTCAAAATATCTGAGTAAATTGGAGCTAAGAATTGCATGAATTGCATCAACAACTTGAGGTGCTTCAAGTACCTCTGCTAATATTCCTGTCTGACCTACTAGGACAAAAGGGTTATTTTCAGGGTAGCCATTACTGAAGATATTTATGTGTAAATGGACTAAACCACAACTCTACCTAGAAACTGTAGAGAGGCAGTGGATACAGATACATCCTATGTTAGCTAAAATCTTATCCTTTTATGTATCACAGAACCACATATAAGTTGTAACAATTCTGCAAGAGGTCTCCTGTGACACTGAGATGTGCCCTGCATTTATAGCATGACACTAAGAATAGTCCTTAGACACTAAGGATCCTAAATGCAGATCTGTAGTGTGGTCTCGGATATCCATTATATCTGTGCAATATAGCACAAAAACTGTGGGAAACCCATGTTTTTCTGGGAGGGAAGCTGAAGACCAGGCCAGGTTACTTTAGAGCCTCCGAAATAAGACTGTTACCTATGTTGAAGCAGTTAACTCAGTGTAGCAACCTTGGTTTTAACCATATCAAATGGTAGCATAAAACACACTAGATATTTTACCCTATATCTGCTATTGTAAGCTGTTGCATAATTTCACACTTGTGCTTATATGAAGCCTACAGATTTCAAGACTGGAATCTTGACATCTTTAATGCATTCTAATATTTACTTCCAAATGTGTTCACAGAATGCAATTACATATCAGAATTAATTCTGCTTGAATAAAAAGGTAAAACTCCTTTGGTCTTCTATCATAGAAGACTATCTTTTTCACTGTTCTTCCTGTAAAATCTTTTATGATTTTATTTTACTTTGTCATAGGTGATCAGAACTTTATGTAGCTTTTATTGCCTTGTGTAATGGCAGAAGTAGTGTTTCCCTTACAATATTGAAATATATCACATGATAGGTGGTAGCATGAAAATTAAATTTTTCATGCTTATGTTAGTAGTTGATAATTACTCTATTTAATACATGTAAGTCTTGTCTTTCTCCATTTTTAACTGGTGAAGTTTGTCTCCGTTCCATCATTTGTTTCTGTGTTTGTGATAGACACAGGTGCTGAAGACTTTGGCAATGATAGCATGGCCTAGCTAGAAAGCAAAAATCTAGGAAAGGAAAGCTTTCACTCTTAAACAGCCTGACTGAAGAAGGAAAGAAACGAAAAAGGACTTTCTCTGTCTGCAGCATAGATTAAAATTTACAAGAGAACTATTAATCAAAATTTTAGAGTATGAGAGTAAGTTAGCACAACTTGAACGAGTTACAGCCCTGTTAAGAAAGTAGCAAGTCCAGGATTTATCACATTTAATTCCTCTCATTAAATCAGTTATTCTTTTACATGACTGAAAATCTTTTATGGCATTATCTCTGGCCACTAAATCCTGATTTTCCAGGTGTACCACATTCCCACAGGACTTGCTGCCTTTCCTCTACCTCACTTTTTAATGGCAATTCCACTTGCTTCCTTTGAAGCAGGGGTAGGATCTGAATCCCAAGGGACCTGAGAAGTGTTTAATGTGGTATGAAAGGTCATTTCAATATTAACTCAAGGTATTGTACACTTTTTAGGATCTCAGAGTTTCAAAAGTTCCCAGGTCACCTCTCCGAGTGCCTAAAGCACATGACTGGGATTGGATTTTCAGAAGAACTCAATAAATAGTACCTCAGTGAGCACAAAAGAGGAGTGACATGTTTGAAAACTTGCCCTTCTGTACCAATGTATTTATTTCCCCAGAACTTTTACAGCGCAAGCCCTTTTCTCAGTTGTGATCCTATCTTGCAGAGTTGTTTGATGCAGCCTACTAAATTGTTTTGTTTTCTTCAGAAAACATGTGAAACGTATCACAGGACAGGGTTAATAAAATGTGTTCTATCAATTAAAGAATGAAAATCAAGGATATGGTGAGTGTGTAGTTAAGATAGTAGCTCTAAACACAATAAAGAAAATTAGTAGTGTAATGACAGAGATATACTTACTGAGCTGCTGTAGGAAATGTAAAACGTAAAGAAAAATGTGTACATTAGCTTTTCTTATATTTCATATATTTATCTATGTAGTTCTAATCTACCATCTGACTTAGTTTCTGCAACATTCAATTTTTCTCTACAGCTGAGTAGATAAATAGATAGAATTAAAAAGAAGTAATCTTCGGTGTATTTCCTATGTTAGATTTATTTCTAAGCTACAATCATAAAATCACGCTGTGTCCTAGGCTTTACCTTTTCTTTACGTGATTAAGTAATTCCACTTACAGCTAATAGATAATAATGCACAAAACTGGTTCATACCCTTTGAATCATGCACAGAGTAATGCTTGTGCTAAAAACGTGCAAAACTGTCTTTGTCAGTCAGTACTGCTATTTAGTATGTAGTCCCATAGATTGAAACCATTCCTCTGTCTCAGAGTTCAGCATATTGAAATGAAAGGATGTTTAGTGCTGTTCATTATGCAGTGTGCTAGATCGTGAGTTTCTCATCCCCAGCAAAATTGTGTGGAGTATAAGGGACATGCTCAAGCCCACTAGGGATTCATAATGGTTTCGCTGTCTAACCACACACACCTAAGTCACATACGGTATCCTACTGTGAAAATGATCTTTTTCCCCAACTGAACGCAGTTTTTAATCAAAACCAAATTTTTTCCAGCCACATAAATAGAAGAACACAATTTGAAAACCCTGTCCTAGAAGCAAAAAGGAAGCTACAGCAGCATAACATGCCCAACGCAGAACTTGGAACAAAGCCTATGCAGGCCCAAGGTTTCCGAGGTACAGTACCATGTCAGCTATCTTACTTAAGATGAAAGATCCTGTTCTCTTGTTTATGTGACAATGATTTTGTCACTCTGATTAAAAGAGTAGTGTTGCCAGTACTCACAGTGTTATGACCTATCTCCTAGCATTTTTCTCCCCTGTCAAGTCCCAGAATTGAGGGACTCAGGAGCCACCTAAAACGGTCTAATCTTCAGAGGCACAGAGAAATGACAGAAAAGTTGACCATAGTGTTTCCTAAAAGCTGAGACACAGAACAATAAGAGCCCTGAAGTAATTTTCTAAATAAAATCATAAATTCTATCCTTGGGAATATACAACTCTCTCCTGAGCACCCGAGGTTGGCAACACTGAAGTAATTAATTGTGCTTTCTCTAAATTACCGTTAATTGATGTTTGGTATGTTTCTATGCTAGTTCATCTCGCAAGCATCAATTAAGTTAAAAGCCTCAAGCACTTTGTTATAGGAGTTTACAAGAATACAGCCTCTTGGTAATGCCAAAATTAATGTGCTTTAAATGAGCTGTATAAGCAGCAAACGCTATTGGTAGAGATGAATAAACTTTAACATAAAGTTATAGCCAGAGAATGAGGCTTGTTCTCCTTTGTAACAGTAGAAAGCTTCTCATCAACCTTACCTAGACCCAAATTTACCCACCTGCGCCCCGCTCCCAAGAGGTCCCACAGCGTGAATGACCTGTCCCAGTGCTGGTGTGCCCCCGCCGGGACGCGCAGGCTGCACGGTATGTCTTCTGCTGCCGCCCAGCCCAGCCCCACCACTGTGGGCATAGCGAGAGTAGCTGAAGTCACAACCTCTGCACCTTCCTCCTACCCATCCTCACCAAGCTCAGCATGGGAGAGAGGCACAGGGAGCCCCCATCACCCGCACCATGTACCGATGCACATGGAGAGGGGGGCATGAAGGTCGCACTGCAGTTATGTGTGTCACTTGTTGGATGCCAAAGCCACATGTGTTTGGAGGAAAAAGCTCACCTGACGTTTAGCGCTGCTTGTTAAGAAATGGAATGAGATATTTAGGGGATATTTTCCTTATTGTGGTTGGGAGGGATATTATGGAGAATGTGTTACTTTGTAGACGAAGCTGAATTTTGGGGTTATGAAAGAGGTTTTAAAATTACCTCACAGATAATTTTTATTGTTGTAATTATTTTAGCTACACAATACCCACTTCTAAATGTATTTCTAATATGAGAGAGTATTTGTAATTCCCTGCTAAAGGCTGATCTGCCACAGATGAGAAATACATTTTAAGCTTTGTAGTAATACAAGAACTCACAAAAATTATTTTCCTGGAATGCCTGCACTCTTTATTCCCTTGGGTTTTATACACTGTCACCTGCTACCAGCCAGTACTGTTATCTGCTGTCCCCACTGTGTTGTGCCTAGATCAGAACTTTTGCCTTTCTTCTTTGTGTTGACTGATGTAGAAAAACCACTCTTCACCCGTGATGCATCACAGCTGAAGGGGACTTTCCTCAGCACAACTCTTAAGAAAAGCAACATGGGCTTTGGATTTACCATCATTGGTGGGGATGAGCCAGATGAGTTTCTCCAGGTGAAGAGTGTAATCCCTGATGGGCCTGCAGCACAAGATGGGAAAATGGAAACAGGTAATTAAGATGGTTCTCTGTTCTTTTATATGAGAAGTTGATTGAGACACAGATTTCTGAGTCTCACTCTCTCCATGAATGCATGGTTTTCCATATGTCTTTCTCTGTTAATGTGTAAACCAGCTTTTCTATCAGAAAAGATAAACTTCTCAGATAAAACTTTCTTGTGATTTTTCTTTCTAATAATGCCACGTAGTTTATTTTTCCCATTACACAATATTTTAAGCAAGAAAAGATCTCTGCATGCTCCTATATAAAAATGGGATACAATGTTCTTTGGTTTATAGGCTGTTTATTCGAGGGGAGTCTGTGCATGGAAAGAAAAGGAGATAGGCGGAGAGAGCACAGACTACTAAGTGCAAATTTATTTCTTTAGAAAGGACGGTTTTGCAAAGTAGTCAAAGTTGATTCTGATCCAACATTTTCATTAGAACCATGAAAACAAGAGTTTTCAGTGTGGCGTGTGGACAGCTAAGCATCTGTGACCTACTAATAAAGAATCTGTGAAAACTAACTAAATAAAACAAACTTCCACTTAGGCGATTTCAAGCTGCTCTTAGGATCTTGATTACCACAGGAAATATTTTCATGTCCACAGATTGATAAAGATTGGAAACCACTATCTTAAAGGTTTGCAGGTTCACATCAGGTCTATGATTGAATGAAGTATTTTTGGAGGAAGATTCATTCAGTTTCCAAGCCAGGTCCTGTAGGAGAAGACATTCAGAATGTCAGAATTATTCTAATAGAGTAATTAGAGTTGGCAGGGACCACCACTCACTGACCTGCTGCTCAAAGCAGGGTTAACTTTGTGGTTGTTCAGAGCTTCATTCATGGGACTTTAGAAAATCTTATAGGAAGAGATCCCACAGCGTCTGTGAACTCCTGTCCCAGTACTTACCCACACCCATGGTGAAGATTTTTGTTCTTTAGATCCAAGTGTGGTTTATATTGATGCAACTGGTTTCCGGTGACTGCAGTTCTGTGTTCATACTGCCCTGTGGCTGTGTACCGTCTCTCCCCAGCAATCCTTGTTCCCCAGATCAGTAGGTAGGCTGCACATCACTACTGGCACATGTGCATAATTTTTCCTTCCATTTCTCACCAAGACTTTGTGGAAGAAATGATGGCTTGGGATTTATATTGCCTCTGCAGAAAATCAAGTTCATGGTGTCCAAAGTCACTGTGAAGATAAAGGGGATTTTCTAGCTTGTGGCAGATCACTGTGGATGGACCACAACAGCAAAGTGTTACAGTACAGGAGGCAGAAACAAGCACAGAGGCACAAACAATGTGGGTTGGATAGTCCCAAGTGATTCTTCTGGAAATGTCCTTTTATCCTTCTTCTGCTGTAGCAAAGGAATGATCTGGACTGTGTATGTTCAGAATAAATCACCCTGAACTCTAATTTGTTCTGTATGACTCTCCAGGACTTCTCAATTAGGAAGTGGGAAGGTTGTGAAAAGTATTATTTTTAAAAATACAGACAGTTTGCCTCAAATCTTATTACAGCCAGCATCTGATGACAAATAGGTAAACAGAGAACTTAGAAAGAAGTAAAATGTAAGAAAGAAGTAGAATATAGATTGGTGCTATTAGTTTTATAAAGAAACTAGTCTAACAGCTTTTTAATTCTCAATTCTAGTTGTGATTTTAATTTAATGGAGTTTGGTTTCCAAGAGCAAAGTTAAATTAGCTGACTAAGTGAACAAATAATACAACAGAGTTCCTGAAGTTCAGGAGATTTTAGTAACATGAATGTCATTTTCCCTAGCATTTTTATATTACCTAACACACAGGATGAGGTATTTTCCTTGTTTGTCATGGTTTAGCATTCTTAGACCCAGCACTCAAGTACAGTTGATAATACATTTGAAGTGTGGGCTGGTTATTGGTGAACTTGTTCATACGGCATTCTTTTCTCTGAAAAAGAGAGTATTGTTGTGATTTTGATGTTGAAATTGAAATTGGAGTCATAATAATATTGATGGTGATAATTGTAGTCATGGATTGTGATAAGTGTATATAGGAAAAATGCGCTTTAAAATGCATATAAACAACATTGATTTCCTTTTGGGGAGGTAATTAATTCAACTATATTAAGAATGCATGACAGAAATGTACATTCAAATACATAATTGCTGTATAATTACGTGAGCCCAATATGTACAAAATTACATCTCGGAATAAATTCTGGCCTCAGATGTACTAAGTTTTTAGAAGAGTGACAGAGTTCTGATGTAGAGTAATTAGAGAATCACAGACTAATGACTGTGGCGTCTAACATGGTTTCTGTGAGTATTTGAAGTGATTTCTAAATATGATAATGATAAACTGAAAAAAGATATTTAAAGTCAGAATATTTCTCAAAGCGCTGTTCAGCAGTGCTTGTATTTCCTGATATCCAATCCTTTTCACACTTCCTCAAGTAGGATTTCTCTCACTGTTAGACCATTTTACAATCTAATCAACTGGAGACAGGAAGGCTTCCCAGGTTCTATCATAGCATTTTGTTCATGAAGCTATTAAAATCTTATTTTTTAAAACTATTTGAAATTACGTATGTACCTTTTGTTTGTTCGGTAGGCATCACTCGATGAATAGAACTTTCAAAATACATTGCATTTATTCTTTTGACACAAACTGTGTGGTGTTGTACAATTTATGTTCACTCCAGCTATGATCATAATCACAGGATTGAGCAAAATATCCTATTGAGGCAGCAGAGCATCATAGTAAAAGCTCAACAATGCACTATGAAAAGGATCACCACCTTATACCCAGGTTGTTAGTGCTTCCCTTGCAAGGATGATACTTTTTTTTTTTTTTTGGGGGGGGGGGGGAGGGTCAAGCAGTAAATAAAATTCTAGTGTTTCAGACCTGCATCAGATACGGGGAAAAGAGGAAGAAAAGGCAGCATCCCCTTCATCTTACTTGGTCTTGGCCTCAAGCTGAAGACACCAATGCAGCAATCCTAAATTGCTAAAGAAACAAGCTCATATAAAGCTAATATTGTACCTTTGGTTTACTTCTCCACCCACAATCTAATTTAGGGGTCAGATACAAATGCCATTCAAAGACAAGGGTGAACTTACGTAAGATGTTACTGTCACCTTTTAACAACCACAACGCAGTGGTTCACCTACAGGTTTCAGAATGAAGCAATACTGGATTTCATCCCTTGAACTATGGAAGAAGCTGCCTGACACTGCTGTGATGCTGTCAGACAGTTAAAGCAGAGAGGCAAACTGGGTGCACTGAGATGCAATAAGAGATATCTAAGGCCCTGGTGATCTGACACCATCACTCAGTTCCCAGTGCTGAGCACTAAGAGCTAGCTATAATTGTCCTGGACCCACAACAAACTTCACAAGCAGACTCAGAGGGACCACATCTCAGTGGATGCATCAAAACCAGCCAAAATTGCATTCCTGATCCCATTTACCAGATGTTTCAGAATTCCTAAGGGTTATTATGTCCTCATGTAAATCTAGCATCTGTGAGCTGATGGCTGTTAATAATACTGCAAATGTCTTTCTAGGACATGTTTTAGCATTTGGAGCTCAATCAAGCTGCTGGATATGAGCATTACACTCCACAGTACCTCTTGTTTACCCCAGGAAAGCCTAAGAGCTGATACCACATTCTTTCCTGGGAGGTTACACTGCTTTGTCTTGTCTGAAGCCTCATGCTACCAATAGAAAACTGCATTTAAGAGGCCCCTGAATCTCATTAAAATGCTGAGTAAACATCACTGGTAAAAGACTGTATCTACATGAAGAGATTTTTATACAGTGAGTGATTTTGAATGGCTGCTGTTCTAAGGCAAAGAAAGATTTAGGCCTGCAGCTGAGTCAGATAAAAGCTCAAGCTGCAAAGGCAAAAATTTCCCTACAATTCTCAAGGTTATTCAATGGACTAGATAAACTGAAACACTCCCACATAATCAAGCTTGGGAAAGATCCTCACTCTGCATATTTCAGCATGTTCCCATTCATTTGGTGAAAGTTTCCAGGAAACAGCTCAAAGACATGGTGAACAAGCGGTTAATTGAGTCTGTTGATGACCCTTCTGAATGATGAATAGCTGTGATCATTCCAGGTTGAACTTTCCAGAAACATATATACATCTGTGATAAATTGTCACAGCTCAGCATAGGAAAAAGCTCATGCTTTTTCATTTCATCAGCCAAGCATACACTTGTCCAGCCCCAAGTGTAAACAATGCAGACTTGGGCTTTTTTACATGCTATTCTCCCAGGAATGGTAGCTTCAATCTATTTGTTAAGGTGTTCTACACATAAAAATTCATAAATGTAAGAAAAGGTTCAGCTGTCAGATGCAGATATCTACAAGACAGATGTCTACACTTACTATATGCGTAGACATGTACTGCTTCTGGTTAACTGAATTAGGGTAAAGTCTAGAGACTAGAGATCTAGACTCTAGAGATCTCTCACTCAGAATTTCTGCTGCACCTGAGAGATCTCCAAAGGGAATGAGCCAGTGGTTAGAAACACTGGAAGGAGTGACCCGTGGCATTGCTGCTATCTGTGGGCCATAAAAATCTTCTATATCTGATGAATTTTTCAAGAAGCTGAGGTTCCTCTAAATGTAATTAAGTTGGAGAAACTGCACCACTGTGTTAGACCAGTCGATGTGGATTTGTGTTATGTTCACTGCTTGTTTTCCTATATCCTCCAGCACAGGCAGCTGAGGAAACAGTACAAAACACAGCAGAAACTGTATTTGCATAATGCACAACCAAAATCATTGCATTCTCTGTTCAGCCACAACACCTACGCTTCCTTTCACCAGTGATACAAGTTACATTTTCCTTTTTGTGCGCCAAACAGGAGTAACTATTTGGTAGAACCTCAACATGGTTTTCTAAAACCAGTTTTCTTTCATTCCACGAGGTAATTTGGCTTTTCAAGGAGAGGTGAGTGAGAGGTCATGAGACTGGAGCTGCGGTGTGAATCTTGTGGTCTTTACACCCTG